GTTACATGAGAATGAACAACCACTTGATGATTAGTGAGAACTTATAATTACTTCATAATGAGTGAAAATTTTAAAAAAGTTGATAATAAGTTAACTAGATTTTTTTACATTACGCGTATTCTGGTGAAGTTTTTAATTGAAACGCCCAGTTACATTATCTTGCTTCGTGAAATTGAGCTTTCTCGTTTATTTTATTTATCGTTATCGGGAAGAGAGGGGGTAAGGGAGAGAGGGTGAGGAGTGAGGGAGAGAGGGTGAGGGGTGAGGGAGAGAGGGTGAGGGAGGGAGGGTGAGGAGTGAGGGGGAGGGGTAAGGGAGAGAGGGTGGGGGTGAGAGAGAGAGGGGAGGGGTGAGGGAGAGGGGGAGGGGTGAGGGAGAGAGGGTTGAGAGAGAGGGGTGGGGGTGAGGGAGAGAGAGGGGTGAGGAGAGAGGGTGAGGGAGAGGGGACCGAGAAAGAGAAAGGAGAAGAAGAAGAGAGCGAAACAGAAACAGAAAGAGAAAGCGAGAGGGAGAAGGAGAGGGAAAGAGAAAGAGAAGAGAAGAGGGAGGGATGACGAAGGAAGAAGAAAGAAACCCTCAAAGGAGTGTGTGTGTATGTTTGCTCATCTATCCAAACATACATACATACACACGCACACACACTGAGCTTCCCATGGCTTGGTGGAATGTTTGGCGGTCTCCAAACCCGTCTCCATGACAACGACCTTTTGTGTTGCCACTGAGCACGTGCTGAATGGGTGGCCATTTCAGGAAAGGTTAGTGCAGCGCGACGATTAGGAATAATTAAAAAGAAAGAAAGAACGAGAGAGAGAGAGAGAGAGAGAGAGAGAGAGAGAGAGAGAGAGAGAGGAGAGAGAGAGAGAGAGAGAGAAAGAGAGAGAGAGAGAGAGAGAGAAGAGAGAGAGAGAGAGAGAGAGAGAGAGAGAGAGAGAGAGAGAGAGAGAAAGAAAGAAGAAAGAAAGAAAGAAAGAGGAAAGAAAGAAAGAAAGAAAGAAAAGCGAGAGAGAGAGAGAGAGAGACGAAAATATAAGGATAGATTCAATAGTTTGACGGTAACTTCCGGGTAAATTTTTATAACGAGGGTTTAGCCGTCGGGTAACGCTTTTGGAAAAAAAAGATGCGTAGAAGGAGAAAAGGGAGGAAAAAAGAAAAGAAAATGAAGAGAAATGACGACGATAGTATTACATGTAGTACCAAGGTCTGTTTAAGTACTCATATAGACCTAGTGTAGTACTACTGTTACGAGGAAAGACGGAGGGAGACAGGCACAAGGTCTTTATAAGTACAATGTCTATATAAGTACAAGGTCTATATAAGTACAAGGTCTTTATGAGGAGACAGGGGGTGGGTGCGATAAACAGTGTATGATAGTGTATTGAATGATAATGAGGGTGGTGAAGAAAATCGTAAATGTAGTCATAATTATGATAATACTAATAACAATAGCAATAACTGTGATGATGGTATTGGTAATGATGGAGATGATTGTGATTTGAATGTGTCTTATTAGTAATGTTGATATTGATAATGCGTGTAAACAAAGTAAGAAAATGTAGTTTATGCGAACAAACCTTGTGGAACAGTTTGCTGCAGATTGGTGGTTTCGCATTAATCAACGTGCAAATTCATAAATGGAGTGGGATTGTTGTTTTTGTTGTTGTTGCTGTTGTTGTCATTGCTGTTGTAGTTTCTGTAGTCGTAGTTGTAGTTGTTGCTGCTGTTATTGTAGTTGTAGTTGTTGCTGCTGTTATTGTAGTTGTAGTTGCTGTTGTCGTACTTGTTGTAGTTGTAGTTGTTGCTGCTGTTATTGTAGTTGTAGTTGCTGTTGTCGTCGTTGCTGCTGCAGTTGCTGTTATAGTTGTGGTTGTTGTTGCTGTTATTGGTGGTGATAGTAGAGGCAGTGGTCTGTTGGAGGCTTTGGTTTGGTTTATTTGTTTGTTTGGCGCCACGAATTATAGGACATTGATTTGCAGTTTGTCATCTTGATGTCCTACTCTCTATCGATATTTATTGTAATGCGGCAGTTTTCCCTTTCGTAGATATTGACGTTATTGCTTTTGTAATGGTGTGGTGGTTGTTTATGCTGCTGTGATTATAATTTTTATTGTCCCGGCAATTATGTTGATGGTAATTGGTGATGGAGGTAGGGAAAGTGATGTTGAGTGTGGTGTTGATGACGGTCAGGTGTATCATCATCATCGTCATTATCACCACCACAATCATTCATTCACCAACATCTATTATCATCACTCGATCATCACCGCAACAGTTATAAAAGAAATAAAAAAGATGATAATGATTATAATGATAATGATAGTATTAGTAGTAATTATAATGATAAAGATAAACGATCATATGTAATAATATAATGATAATAATGATAAAATGATAGTAATGATAATGATAATAATAATCATGCTAATAATGATAATGATGAAAATAATGATGATGATGAAAACAGTGATACTAATAATAATGATGATAATAGTGCCAGGCAGAACAATTTTCCTTTTTTGAAGCGAGGGATAAATGGGCCAGTCACGTTGCATCAGTCTTCTTGCAGGTGTTTGCAATCCAAAGCCTCGAGAGTCCCAGGGGTCATCGCCGAGCAAACACTGTCGGGGGCCGTCGGCGGTGGTTGTGAGGCGGGGGGAGGCGGGGGCGGGTGGGGTGGGGTGGGGATGGGGGGGGGGGGAGGCGCTCGTTGCTCAAGAGACGGAGGGGAATGTACGGATGTGGAGGGTTGGGGGTAGGGGGTAGGGCGTGGGTGTTTGTGTGGAGTGGTAGGGTTGTGGATGTGTGAGGGGGAGGGTGTGGGTGTTTGTAGTGGGAGTGGGTAAGGTTGTGGTTTAGGAGAGTGGGCAGGGTGTGGGTGTGTGAGGGGGAGTGGGCAGGGTGTGGGTGTGTGAGGGGGAGTGGGCAGGGGTGGATGTGTGGGGGGAGTGTGGGGTTTGTGGGAGTGGTAAGGTGTGGGTTTAGGAGAGTGGGTAGGTGGGGGAGATGGTAGGGTGTGGATGTGGGTGTGTGAGGATGAGTGGGTAGGGTGTGGGTGTAGTGGGAGTCGGAGTATGTATGGGAGGACTGTATGGGTGGATGTTGTGAGAATGGCGGGGGAGTGGGATTGGGAGTAGGGTTATGTGCGGGTATGTGAGAGGTCGCTGACAAATCCTGACAGATACATGCATATAACATGACACGAACCAGCAGCCACTCGTAGTTTAAATTTCTTATGTGTTTGAGGCTGACCAAGCACATCTACACCAGCTAAAAATGTGTGATATATATATATTTTTTTTGCTCGACCATCTCCTCCCTCCCTTCCCCTCTCCATTCCTTTTTCCTATCGCCGTTTTTCTTCTTCGTCTCCCCTTCTTCTCCCCTTTCCCAATCTTCTTCCTCTTCCCTGTTTTCCTCCTCTTCCTTCTCTCTTTTATCCTTCTTCTCCTTTTCCCTCTTCCCCTTCCCTTCTTTCTTCCTTCTCTGTTTCCTCCTCTTCCTCTTTCCCTCTCTCTTCCTTCTCTGTTTTCCTCTCTCCCCCTTCTCTCCTCCTCTTCGTTCTCCGCTTCTCTCTTCTTCTCCTCTCCCCGATCCCCCTCTCCCTCCTCTTCTTTTCCCTCTCTCCCTCCTCCTCTTCTTCCCCTCTCTCTCCTTCCTCCTTTATCCACCCACCTCCCCTTCTCCCTCCGCCATACGTCATCAGCGCCTCCGTGTGTCACCCACTTGTGCCTGGATTGGCCTCCTACGCATACCTGTGACGTGGACAACCTCTTAATTAAACCGGAGACGTGGTGAGGGGAGGGAGGGAGAGGGAGGAGGGCAAGAAATCGAGGGATGGGGGGAGTGGAGAAATGGAGGAGGGCGGGGGGAGAATCCGGGAATGGAGGGAAATTGGGGGATGAGGTGGGGGGAGAGAGAATGGAGGAGGAGAGAAATCCGGGAATGGGGGGGGGGAATGGGAAGAGGGGAGAAATCCGGGGATGGGGGGAAATTGGAGGATGGGGGGGAGAATCCGGGAATGGAGGGGAGAAATCGGGGGATGGGGGAATGGAAGGAGAGGAGGGAGAAATCGGGATGGAGGGAATCGGGGGATGGGTTGGGGTAAGAAATCCGGGAATGGGGGGAGGGGGGGAATAGGGGGATGGTGGGAAGGGTAAAAAAGACAGTCTAGAGGGTTGAATGTGCGATGGATCTGTGGATCTGCTTCGTCCTGATTGATGAGTATCTCTCTCTCTCTTCTCTCTCTCTCTCTCTCTCTCTCTCTCTCTCTCTCTCTCTCTCTCTCTCTCTCTCTCTCTCTCTCTCTTCTCTCTCTCTCTCTCTCTCTCTCTCTCTCTCTCTCCCTCCTCCCTCTCTCTCTCTCTCTCTCTCTCTCTCTCTCTCTCTCTCTCCTCTCTCTCTTCTCTCTCTCTCTCTCTCTCCTTCTTCTCTCTCTTCTCTCTTCTCTCTCTCTCTCTCTCTCTCTCCCTCTCTCTCTCTCCCTCTCTCCCTCTCTCCCCGCTCCCCTTCTCTCTCTCTCTCTCTCCTCTTCTCTCTCTCTCTCTCTCTCTCTCTCTCTCTCTCTCTCTCTCTCTTCTCTCTCCTCCTCCCTCCTCCCTCCCTCCCTCCCCTCTCACTCACTCACTCACCTTCACTCACTCACTCACTCACTCACTCACTCACTCTCATCCTCCTCTCTTCTCTCTCTCTTCTCTCTCTTCTCTCTCTCTCTCTCTCTCTTCCTGCTCTCTCTCTCTCTCTCTCTCTCTCTCTCTCTCTCTCTCTCTCTCTCTCTCTCTCTCTCTCTCTCTCTCTCTCTCTCTCTCTCCCTCTTATTCTCCTCCTCTTGCCCTTTCTCTCTCTCCCTCTCTTTCTTCGTATCCTTCTCCCACTCATCCTCTTTTTTATCTCCACATCTTTCTTCTTCTTCTTCTTCCCTTGCTTATCTTTCTTGTCCCTCCCTCCCCTCGCATACCAAAGGAGTAGGATTTGTCCTCGCTGGATAATTGATCTTCAGGGATTCTCTACGTGTTATTGATGTGTCGTTTGGGCTCCCATTCTGTCGCCCTTGCATGCGTGGGGGGCTTTGGGGTCTTCAGGGTAGGGTTCTCTTTCTTCTTATCTGATGTGTTCGTTTGTTCTGTAGGTTCTTGTTCTTGTAGGGTTCGGGGGTTCTGTAGGGTTCTTTTGGGGTTCTGTAGGGTTTTTGGGGGGGGGTTCTTTGGGGGTTCTGTAGGGTTCTTTGGGGGTTCTGTAGGGTTCTTTAGTAGGGTTCTTTGGGGGGTTCTGTAGGGTTCTTTGGGGGGTCTGTAGGGTTGGGGGTCTGTAGGGTTCTTTGGGGGGTTCTGTAGGGTTCTTTGGGGGGGGTTCTGTAGGGTTCTTTGGGGGGTTCTGTAGGGTTTGGGGTGTTCTGTAGGGTTCTTTGGGGTTCTGTAGGGTTCTTTGGGGGGGTTCTGTAGGTTTCTTTGGTTCTGTAGGGTTCTGTAGGGTTCTTTGGGGGGTTCTGTAGGGTTCTTTGGGGGTTTCTGTAGGGTTCTTTGGGGTTCTGTAGGGTTCTTTGGGGTTCTGTTAGGGTTCTTTGGGGGTTCTGTAGGGTTCTTTAGGGGGTTCTGTAGGGTTCTTTGGGGGGTTCTGTAGGGTTCTTTGGGGGTTCTGTAGGGTTCTTGGGGGGTTCTGTAGGTTCTTTGGGGTTTCTGTAGGGTTTTTTAGGGTGGTTCTGTAGGGTTCGTTAGGGGGTTCTGTAGAGTTCGTTGGGGTTCTGTAGGGTTCGTTGGGGTTCTGTAGAGGTTCTTGGGGTTCTGTAGGGTTCATTGGGGGTAAGGTTCGTTGGGGGTTCTGTAGGGTTCTTTGGGTTCTGTAGGGTTCTTTAGGGTTCTGTAGAGTTCTTTGGGGTTCTGTAGGGCTCTTTGGGTTCTTTGAGGTTATTTGGGGTTCTTTAGTTTTTTTTTTTCTTTGGGGTTCTTTGAGGTTATTTGGTTTCGTCGCCGCGCCCCTCGAGAGACCCCAAAAGCCCCTAAACCCATTGCAGGTCTTCCATTGCGTGAATAGATAGATTTAGGAATAGACAGGGTAATGCAAGAATAATGATGATAATGATGATGATGAGCAGTAGTAATAGCAGACTGATATGCTTTGATTGACCTTACCTCACAATGGGTAACTGTTTCCCCGAGCAGCTCATTTCACCTCAGGGTTACCGGATTTGAACTTTAAAGGGCCATCTGACATTTTTAGTGGTTTGCCAGTAAGAGTAATAATGATGATAGTAGTAATAATGATAATGATGATAGTAGTAATAATGATAATGATGATAGTAGTAATAATGATTGATGATGATAATATGTAATAATGATAGTAATAATAGTTATAATGATAATGATAAAAGTAGTAATAATGATAATGATGATAGATAATAATGATAAGATAAGATAATAATGTATGTAGTAATAGCGATAATGTTAATAGTAATATAGATGCGTACAAAGTTTCCTCAGTCCCTCTGCTCCTCTCCCACCAAGCCGCCCCCCCCCCTCCCCTCCCCCTGCCCCCGCCCACCCTTCAAGCCAGGGCGCTTCTTCGGCCTTTTGATTAAACCGATCGCGAGGGCCTGGCGATGAGAAGCCCGCCGAAGGGAAGGGAAGGGAAGGGGAGGGAGGGGAGGGAGGGAGGGAAGGGAAGGGAAGGGAAAGGGAAGGGAAAAGGAAGGAAGGGAAGGAAGGGAGGAGGGAGGGGATTGGGGGAGGGAGGGGAAGAGGAAGGGAGGGAAGGGATAGAAGGAAGGAAGGGAAGGGAAGGGAAGGGAAGGAAGGGTAGGGAAGGGTAAGCGGAAGGGAAGGGGAGGGGAGGGAGGGAATAGGGTAGGGTTTCAAGCGGAAGGGAGGGAAGGGAAGGGAATTGGGAAGGCGAAGGGAAGCAAGGAAGGGAAGGAAGGAAGAGGGAAGAGGGAGGTAGGAGGAAGGGACGTGAGTGGAAGGGAACAAGGGTAAGGAGCAAGGGAAGGGATAGGAGAGAGGGAAGACCGCAAGAAGGGAGGGAAGGGGTAGGGACAGGGATCGAAGGCGTGCGGGGGCTCGTAGGTGTTGGGAGAAGAGGGTAGGAATGAAAGAAGGGAGGGGGGAGGGAAGGCGAAAGGGAGGGGGATAGGGTAAGGGGAGGGGAGGGAGGGGAGGGAGGGATAGGTAAGGAAGAGGGAAAGGAGGGAAGGGAGGCAAGGGTAAGGGAGTAGGGCAAGGGTTAGGGGAGGGGAGGGGAGGGAGGGGAGGGAGGGGAGGGAAGGGAGGGTTAGGTAGTGGAGGAGAAGAGAAGGGAATGAGGGTGGAAGGGTGGGAAGGAGGGGAGAGAGGGGGGAAGGGGAAGGGAAGGGAAAGGGAAAGGGAAAGGAAAGGAAAGGAAAGGAAAGGAAAGGAAAGCGAAGAGAAGAGAAGAGGGGAAAGGGAAGGGAAGGGAGGGAAGAGGAAGGGAATACCGCGGGATGCATTCAAAACTTCGCCCCTTCGCCGGCCTGCGCTCGCCTGTGAATTTCGTATGGGGAGGACAATGGAGGGAGGATGGAGGAGGGGGAACTGGTTGGCTGATCGATAGGGGAGGGCTTGTGTGTGTTCATATATATAATTATAATAATATATATATACCTATATATAATATATAAATATATATATATATATTATATATATATATACAATATACATATATATACATATATATATTACAATATACTATAATATAATATATATATATATTAATAT